TTTTGATATTTGTTAACATAAAAAAAACTTTTATTATCAGGAAAATTATTGATATATCAAATGAGAATATAAAGATAAATTTTTTTTTTGATAAATGCAAGTTTGTTTTTCTTAACATTAATTGAATAAAGTATGTCATGTATTTTTTAGGATCTTGTTATAAATCTGAAGATATAATTTCAACTGTGAAACATAATGAGAATTCGTAATATTTTGATGGTATATATCATGTAATGGTAGTGGTAGAATTGTTTTTATTAAAGAAACTATAAATGGTATTTTTATGTTTAAATTCCAAGTTAAAATCTAAAAAATCAGCATCTGAAATTGATTTTAATAAACTTATTTTTATACAGAACAATGATCTAAAGCATGCTTTAAGGCTTATTTTAAACTGGATGAATGAAAAAGAATTAGATGTCTTATACTGTCTTTCTCAGAGTTTAAATATGAACCTTTTTAAGACACTAGAGGTATCTTTTTATATTAAAATTGGGTAAATTTGGTAGATTAATAGGAAATAAATCAAAAAATTGTAGAACTGAGATTTGATATTTAATACCCATCTGTTAAACTGGTTCAGAAAATATATATAGTTTTCACTAAAGGTATTTAGTTGTTTTTTAAACAAAAGGAAATAATACTAAATTTTAAATATATTATCCACGTTCTTTTGGTTAATATTTTTAAAAATATATTCTTTCTCGAGTTTATTTAAAAGTATGATTTCTAGAAATGTTTTTTAATTTTTATAACTATTTTCGTTCATTTATGTTCAATATAAAATTACTTGATATTTCTTTTTTGTTTATATTTTTTATTTTTTGCTTGTCTACGTTTTTTGAGTAATACTATATATAACTAGTTCGTTTTTTAAGTATTTAGTTCTTAATTAGTTTATATATTTTAAAATTCTTTTAATATTGGATTATTTTATTTTATATTTGTAATCGATTTTTAGATTTAAGTAAAAAACAGGTATTAATTTTGAAAATGTTTGATTTTCCATAATAAACATTA